AGGAATGCAGCGTTAACATTGTATGTATTCACTGAATATTTAATAGGTTTGGAATAATTTGCACTTACTACTGCTACAAACTTGGCACTACAAGAGTTAAATTTCATTTTAATTATATTATTAATATTATATCTCATAGAAACATTCTTCTCTTTATAAACAAGGTTAACAGTGCTACTATGTTAATGTGTAAATCCATATATGAGAGTTTAGAGAAAAAATATATTCTTTTTGCAATGATTAGGTGAACAATTCCGTTAGTGCCCTCTGCAAATCAGTCTACGAGAAAATGTTCTTGTGGATGGTGATTCGCATCAATGAGATGTTGGACACCAAGCAGCAGAGACAGTTCTTCATTGGTGTGCTGGATATCGCCGGCTTTGAAATCTTTGATGTGAGTGAATGTTTTCAGTGTTATCTATTATTTACTGTGATCACATTCCATTTATTTTTATGATATTTGTTATTTGCTGTATATAATAATTAGGGCTGTCAAAGTTAACGTGATAATTGTCACGTCCGGGAGGAACAGAGCAGGCTGGCACAGAAGACAAGAGAGGTAGAATGCTTAGTAGGGCACATGAGAGCAACAATACTTCGTAACCGTGGTTAGTCAGAGTGCTAGTTAAATAGGCGATCGTAATGAGGCTTAGTTATGTGGCCCCGCCCACCGAGGCGTGACACTAATAGCGTGTCAACAGGAATTCATTATAACGTGACAAATTTTTTTGATGCCATTAACATGTGTTGAGTCGGATGGCAGCTCGGGAAAAATAATGAACAAAGAAAAATGTATTTTGAATGGCAGGTTCAGCTTCAAAATTCATCGACAAGACCAAAGATATTTGCAGTTACTGTCGATGTGAAATCTAGTCTTAAATACCATACCAGGTTGCAGCTCTTCTCAGAACAACAGACGCATTCACATTTTCATGTCTTAACATATTATGATAATACTTCCGTAAATATAAATAATTTATTTATGTGTTAATATTATTATTTTTCATTTAGGTATTTCTTTAGCTATATGTAAATGAGGCGGTCTGTTGCACGCTTTTGTTATGTCTTAACTGCATAATTTACATCCTCCTCAAAGTCATTCTCTACGAGAGTATGTCTCCGGTCAAATGGTATGCCTTCCAGAGTTTTCTTCAATGTCCGAAACTGGATGTAGGCTTATTAAGTTTATTGGGATTCCTTATTCTTTCATATACTTTTCGTAGTAAATCGTCACCACATCTTCCCAGATCTTCGTAAAATTATTATATTTTCTCCAATTTTCATATTATAGCCAGCTGATTTCGGAGTGGTGAGGACATTTTGTACTGCTCGGTCAGTAGTGAAGTGGAGAGTGAAGGGCAGACAACTGCAGAGCCAAATGAACTTGGGTGAGGGTGAAGACTAGTGCTACAGAACTGAACAATATTGTGATATTAGTCACCTTTGTGCTTTTATGCATCCGAGTGATTTAAAACTGAGAACCACCCCCCCCCCCCCCGAAATTGTTTTTCTTTATTTTTTGTAAGTACAGTGGTACCTCAGTTCTCGAACTCATTAGAACTCAAATTTCTTAAAAGTGAAACCAACCATTTTGAAAATAATTACCTAGAACTTGATCTGAATCTCAGAAGTCGAACCGTGAACGCCGATCTAAGATAACTTGTACGCGCAGGGAAATGAGTCACGCGGCACGTCTCTCAGCGGAAACAAAGGGTAACGCTTCAGTCTCAGCCTTGCATTCACTGTGATTGCATCGTGCATGTTTACACTAGCTGAATACATATATATATATATTTATATAGACAGTAAAAATGAATTTAGACAATAACAGTAATTATATAATAAAATACATTTTAAAACAAAAATTTATTATTAATTATTTTAATATTAATAATAAACCATTAATACATTTAATAATAATAATATTGTCATGCGGAGCTGGGACGGAACGGAGACAAAGGCGCATACGAAGTTTAATTACAGGTAAGGCAGGCAAAATGCAGACGGACAATACAATGACCGGACTGGTGAAACAAACTGAAACACAAGGTTAACGAGGGGGCGTGGCACATGGAAGGAGCGGACGATCGGGGCAGGACACATTGTTTTTTTTTTATTTTACACATTGTTTGGATACATTTAT